CCCTATGGTCTCTGAGCTGTATGTGCTTTGTGAATTTCATTAGGCAGGGGTGGCGCCCTAACCCTAACCCCTCCCCCCGGGGGAGAGCTCCCCCTCCCCCACCACCGTCGGCGAGAAAAACAAATTGTATGTATTTTCTATATATTAGTAGACTCTAAAATCGATTACATAAGCCTTTGAAACCCCTAAATTGTCAAAATTTTCGGGGGCTTCCCCCCCCCCCACACTTTTCAAGGTCCAAAAGGCAGTGAAGAATGTAGCCTACATCAATATAAATCTTATTTTCCAGTACAGTATATAGTACATATATTCGGTGGCGGATGAGAATTTATTATGGTCGACTGTCTGTGCTGTGCCCAACTCATTCGGTATGCCGTGAAATAATTATACAGTATTTCTATCTACAACATTCTACGGTCCGAATAAGAGTTTTTTCGACAATTCGCACGGTACCGTGCGAATAAGCTCTTATGAGTCTTATTCGCATGGTAGACCTAGCCAATCAGCATTTAAGGTTTCATGACGTAACGGCTGTTATACCGTGCGAATAAGTTCTTATTCCTAATACGCACGGTACCGTGCGAATAACCTCTTCCTAAATATATTAGGCCTATGTTCACCCGAAACATTTAAGAAAATGGGTCCACATTATTTGAATTTACGCGTAAAGTAGGTCCACCCTGATATTGTCCCGCTGCTTGAAAATCCTGGCTACGGCATGCGATACCGAGGCTTCATAAATCGATTTTATCGGATCACCTTCATGATTGTCGTACACAGAGATTTCGAGTGTATTCAAGGAGCGGACTTTACACTAGTTAACGCAGAATGTACAGATGGTACGGTACGGTACGGTACAAATAAGTTCTACTGTATTTGATCGTTATTTACTCTTTTTCGGGCAATTATCTATGTACTACTACTATACTATGTATTGTTTATTACAGCATTTATCCGGGTGCTCATAAAGAACACAGTGCGCTAACAATGTAGGTGTGCAATAATAAATAAATTTATTTATATTCGGCCTCATATTGAAAAAATGTAAACTTTTCACAAATTCGGCCAAACATAATTTGCCGTGACTTTTCATACGCTACGGGCAAGTGGTGAATCTGGCCGTCAAAACGGTAAATGGCAAACCTGTCACCAACTATTCTCAAACAAAGACGAGAACCAGATGGTAGACTTGCCGAGCACAAATTTATTAAAATATGATAAAATAAAACGACTACTTCAATAGCACCTGCTATCTTTATCAAAATATTATTTTGTTAATTTTTTTTTAAACTTGTCTTCCGAAAGGGAACTTTATGATCGTACATCTTGTACACCGGTCTTCTCATACGGATAGCATGAGCTGTCGAAAAACGAATGGTGAATTAATGGTTTGCTGTCGCCAACGTTGGACTAACCATTCCTCCTCCCGACCATGGACTTGCTAGATAAACTGTTATACGTACGAAACAAACAACGTCACTTGACGTCACACTGACCTGCCTCCATCCATCCTTCCATTCATAAAAACATACGCAGTGTTGGTTCAACGTAGCACATTTTGTATATTATTATATGGTGGTAAAAAGAGGAAATATCGTGTTTCTATTTATCATCATTTAATGTAGAGTTTTTTTTCTCTCATATAATATCGAAGTGCTACGTGTGTTTTCCAGTGTTGTCTTGGCTTTCTGAGAATAAACAGTTCATGTAAGTTTCAAAATGACTTCTTCAGTATGTCAGCAGGGTAGAAAATCATGTCCAAGTACGCTGAACGAACTAGTGGCAACTTTAATAGAGATATTTTCATCAGAAAGAGTAAATATCGAAGAAGTTCAGACAGTGATGGAGAACTACAGGAGTAATGAGTTGGATTGGAAGAGATACGCACACTTCGACCCGCATAGGTAGGCATAGACTAGGCTTGCCCTAGGTTTAGTTTTGATGAAATTATACTAACATTATATTCAAATGTTTATTATTATATGTAATGTCGGCAATGAATTTAATTACACACACTACATGAGTGAGTAGGCGGTAGACCTACTACCTAGCCTGGCCAAGGCTGTACTATGGCATTATTGCTATTTTTTTTTTTTTTAACAGGTTTTTCTATGTAATTTTTCCACACTTTTCTTGCTTTCTGGATTTGGTAATGTTCAGTATTATATTATTATTTAATTCAATGTTCCGGGTCGTACATGTAACACAAATTTACGGTACTGCATGATCCGTTTAGCCGGGTCAGTTGTACGGCCTAATAGTGATAAGGGCACATAGAAAAAATATTAGAATCACTCTTTTCAATCTAATCAATTTTTCTATTTGCCCTAAAATATTGATATCTGTCAGGGAAATCGTGCTGCATCTAAATAAAAAATCATGCATTCCCTTCTTGAAGTGAATACCGTACTTGAGCGAATAAGCGCCCGGGCGCTTAAAATATTTTTTTGAGGGGCGCTTATTCAAACAGGGCGCTTATTCGAACGAGGTGCTTATCCAAACAGAGTAGAAATTGAGGGGGTGCTTATGGAAATAGATGAAAATTGAGGGGTTCTTATGAGAACTTATTAAATTCAAGAGGCAAATTTTGAATGGAAAATGATTAAAGGACAAGAGAAAAGGACATCAGGAAACCGCAAATTATGAATGGTGGTGCGGCGGAAAAAAGATAATCGTCCAGAGAGCATGGCTTGTCATGACAAGAATACTGTAGTACAGTACAGTATTACATAACAGCAGAATACTTGTTGGCCATCGGCCGATTGAGATCAGCAGGATGGCCTGATCATTGCAGGTTTTCTTGAAAACCCAGATGAGAATAGGTTAGGTGCAAATTGTCGGAAAAGCAGTAGGACTAGGCTATAGAAAAATGTAAGAAGATGAAAGTTGGAAATATACTGTCTGTCCAAGAAGCTCTCCTCTGTCCAAAATAAATATCCTCATTTTGATATTGAATAAAGGAGAATGTGATTCCACTCCACACCTCAAATCATGCCAACATCCACAGTCCAGGATTGATTGAATTGAATGAGGGGCGCTTATTCAAATGGGGCGCTTATTCGCGCGAGTACGGTACATGATCTTTATTTTGTTAATATCAGGATTTCGTAGTGGAATGATTATTTTTTCGTATGCATTGTTTTTATGTTTGTTGTTGATATCAGTATTTACATTTTATGTTGTTTATATAACCTGTTAGTGATGGTGTTCATCGCTATTAGTTTTTGAATTAATAAAATAAGAAAAAATATATTTAGGGGCAGGGCAATTTGAATTATAAAACAAATTTGGTGCATTCTCATACAAAAAATACTTGCCCTTCTAATAAATAATAGTAATGACAAATTTAATACCAAACGTCACAAAAAAACAGTAATAAAAATTGTTCTGTGCGCTGCAAAAAACATTGAGTATTAGTTATTAAATTTTCATTTTTAAACCCTTACATATTCCATATTACCATGCGCTTCCTCATTCACCCCTTCCTACCTACTCAAAAAGTTCTGTAAATTTCTATTGTTATATATTAAACAGAATTTGTATGTATTCACTATTTGATTTTGAATGGCATCTTAAATTGTCCGTAACATATATAATTTGATATTACAATATCACAATTGAAATATCGACTGATGTAGATTCATCTATCCAGGTTGACAATAATAAATATCAATTAAAACTTTATATCTCTGAAATATCATTTACATATTAATAAACAAGGTGAATTAAATGCCAAGTATTTTATAGTGGAAGTATTGTAAGACTATCATATGCAGGGATTACCATACAAACAATTAAGTTACCTAGAAAATTACAATACTGTTTATAATTTAGTATATAAGTAGCATTCACTGTGGCAAGCCTAAATCTGGCCAGTCACTACTTCGTACAATGAATCCAACTGCCTGCTAGACGACGTGACACCATCTGCTGATTGTTGGTGGCAGTCTGAATGGATCGTCATTAAAAACATTTTGTTGTGTGCGCGTCGTAGCATTGTGTTCTTCATAGAACCACGTTATTATTTAACTTTTTCCTGATAGATTTACATTTAATGCAAAGTGCTACAGCACGCACATTGCTATCCATATTAGTATATTAATTCCTGGCTTTGCTATCAGATAACACTATTATCAGTTTTAACAAGAGTATCATGCTTAAAGTGTGGGCCAAGTAATTGGACATGTCTTTGGTGGTGTTCGTCCTTAGGAACTTGAACATTTGTTTGTAAAGATAGATTATCAAATTTATTTGTGTATTTACTCAAGAGTTTACATATTAAATCAGGCGGATCCAGAATTTTTCAAACAGGGGTGGGGGGATGGGGTGGCACACAATTTTCAGAATATTTTCAGGATAGATAAGTGAACATTTGTTTGTAAAGATAGATTATCAAATTTATTTGTGTATTTACTCAAGAGTTTACATATTAAATCAGGCGGATCCAGAATTTTTCAAACAGGGATGGGGGGATGGGGTGGCACACAATTTTCAGAATAGATAAGTGAACATTTGTTTGTAAAGATAGATTATCAAATTTATTTGTGTATTTACTCAAGAGTTTACATATTAAATCAGGCGGATCCAGAATTTTTCAAACAGGGGTGGGGGGATGGGGTGGCACACAATTTTCAGAATAGATAAGTGAGTAGTGCTTATTTCAATACATTACAATCATTGATATGCATTGAAATTTTAAAATTTAGTGGCAAAACGGGGTGGGGCACGTTCCCCCATTTCCCCCTACTGGATCTGCGCCTGTAAATGGCAAATTTCTTTAAAGAATGAACCAAAATACAGTAGTTTGAAGTATCGTCTGTTATAATATCTAAGACAAGATTCTAACTGGCCAGTTCAAAGTTCTCCACATATACTTTATTTCCTCATCAATGAAGAAATATATAAATTCAATGTCATATCTAAGTATAGGATTTAAAATTACAAAAGAAGCCTGTCTCGGATGTCTACATTGTCTGAAAATACCTGTACCATAAGAATTCTGTTATTAGCGACAAGCTAAAGATCAATGCGATTGTAGAAGAAAAGTAAATTTAAGATTACCCTGGTCTTTATGAACAAAAATTTATGATGAACATTATATGCTGTGGAATTGTTTCGTTTGAAAACAGACTTATTGACGTATACTGTACCCCAGCTGTTGTGCACATTAACAGACTATCTAAATCCTAAAGAAGGGACTCATGAAATTTTGAATGGAGCTCAATAATTCAATCAATCCTGGACTGTGGATGTTGGCATGATTTGAGGTGTGCTTCATAAATGCCACTAGTTGGTAAATTACTGTATAAACTATAGGCTTATAACACTACGGTAATTGATGTTACAATAGATTATTAGGAAGACTTTATTTTCATTTTTTTGCAAAGAACAGGCATGGGCTATTTGAGGCATACTGTAGGTAGGAGAGATAAATTTGCAGTACCATCAGCTTATCATTGTATGGTAAGAAGGTATTAAGAAATGTAGACGTTTTTGGTAACTGACGTTACATTGGAAGATAAAATTTACTATTTAATTACAGTGATGCAATTTTCTTGATCTGAAAATAGGAGGTGCCTGATGTAGATGTATATCAACAGAGTATGTCCCAACTAATAATTCAATGCCATAAATTATTAAATCCAAGTGTATAAATTTCAAAAAGGTGAAGGTAATTTGTATGCAATATGCAGTATACTGTCTAAATTTGCATAAACTATGCAAATTTCTGCAGCCATTTTGAAAAACAAAATGGCCGTCTACTTTCAAGCATAATACATATTCAGAAACTCCAAATCATGTACAACTATGCAGTCATATATAATTTATTTTCCATAAATCATTTTGAATTTTTTATGCTCATGTCCTGTTTTACACGGAATTACCCACTTGGTGGTTAAGGTACTTCTTTTTTATTCCCAGAGACCTGGGTACAAATTCTTTTTTTTTTTTTATGATAAGTCTCATAAAACTATAAAGTCTCAAAAATCATTATTGTTTTCATATTCAGGTATACAAGAAACTTGGTGGACGAGGGGAATGGACGCTTTAATCTAATCGTGTTGTGTTGGGGTGAAGGAATGGGCAGGTATGTTTAAACAAATTTTTTAATTTTTTGTTAGGACTCTGCACCAGAAATACCCTTTCATTTTGTTTAGAGCACCACTTAAAAGTCGAATGTTTTCAGTTAAGCCTCAGTTTTTATTTTTTTCTTGAGGACTTTGGCCCTATGTTATTGGGGTATTGAAAAGGGAGGCTCTATATTTAACATAATACTCTGTATACTGACTGCAGGTCAATAGTATACAATATTACATAGCCTATGTAAATACGAGTACGTGATTGGTCGAAATGGCATCACGTAGTGTTTTTTTATCACTTAACCTGTGAACTCTGCGTATTTAATTAATTAGTTTAATTTATTTAAAATTCATTCCTATGTTATTATTCCAAAGTTTTCATATTTTACAAAGATTGCCTGTAAATTTTTTGGGGGCTGTACCAGTGTTTTTGAATTTTATTTTTGTTGTTTTTGCATACCGGACCAAATCAAAGCATATTAAATCAATCTTTATTGTCCCTTTGTAAACTTTCTGCTCCATTACCATTGCCTGAGGGTGCACCAAAGCTGGGAAATTCCATCATCTACACTAAATGTCTGGTTTTTACTGGGCGCAGGCATTTTATTTGGTCTGAATACAGGAGGCCCTCTACAGCAATACTCCTACATAACCCAAAAAATCCTATAGAAGGCAGCCTAGCTATAAAAAAATTATCATGAAATCTATACAGGGCGTACGTACGATGCCCCTCGCTATAAAGTATGGTCAAAGATGGCGTCGTCGCGACGCCATACGACTGGAAAGGGTTAAGCTACTGGTACTGTACAAACACTTCAGATTGTATTTAGCAAGGTTGGCCTAACAGACACTGAAATGTAAGGCGATTTTTTGGCAAATAGAAATGCTCAGTAAAAAGTTGAGATACCTGTTTGTCCTGCTGTACTGTACATTAATTAAACCTTCTACCAAATTTTAATATAAAATGTATTGTGTTCAAGTTCAACTTATTCATACTGTAGCACTAAGCATAATAATTATGAAAATAAGTTATTAATAACATTTACGGTAATAGGGAAAGCAAAACATAATACTCTGTATACTGACTGCAGGTCAATAGTATACAATATTACATAGCCTATGTAAATACGAGTACGTGATTGGTCGAAATGGCATCACGTGACTGGTGCTACGAGGATCGGAAACGTTATGTATTTCCCCTAGGGAAATATAACTTTGAAAAGTGACCGGTCGCTGACGTCACCGGATTACACCCGCATTGCGCCCGTAGTGAATGCTAGTCGAGCGCACGATCGATCGCTCATGAATTGTAAAGGTGTAAGCCTTAGCGCTTCGAAAATGCCATCTTCAAATAAGTTTAAATCTCTCGACGAAGACGAATTGGACAGAATTATTGATGAAAAGGATTCTCGGTGTACAAAATTTGTTGTGAATTCATCCGTTAATGTAGGCCTACTCAGTGAATATTGTAAGGCCAAGGAGTCATCAATTACTTGCATTGAAAATTTCACAGCACCGGAGCTCAACGCGTTTCTCCGGTCATTCTACTCTGAGGTAAGGAGAGCAAACGGTGAATTGTACGCTAAGCAATCAATGATAACGCTACGCTACAGACTACAGAAACATTTAAAAAAGTGAAGGTAATATGAAGTATTTTGGCTATGTAATATAACAGATAATGTGTAAAAGTTAAATAAAAGTTCTTGATATTTAAAGTAAAGTGTTCAAATAATTATTTGCATTTATTTTTGGCTGTTGTGTATTATATAACAGATGTTGTCTTTTCTATCGGTGTAATATAACATTTGATATCACCTTGTGAATTATATTTTTCTCTCAGGACTACATTTGCCCTCAGCGCTATGCACTTCGGGAAAATATAATCCATCGAAAAAATATAATTCCCTCTGGGATATCAAATGTTACATTACACCTCCAAGCAGGCAATATCTGTATATTTCAATATACTTAAAAATATACAGTTGACCAGCATTTGTTGTTTGGAGTTAAAAAAAAAAAAAAATTTTATGTACTGTAAAAATTGTATAATGGTATCCTCAACTTCCATTGCAGACCTACTTTTACTCTTCCATTGATTGACTTAAGTTCTTAATTTCTTATTATTGGCATTTATTGACTTCATATCATACTGCCCAAGGTGTAAGGCTTTTGTCACATGGTGAAGCACTATCTCTTTCGATTTTTCGAGCGGGATTATAAACTCTAAATCCATAATCCATTTGGAGAAGTGTACATTACCTGTATAATATAGTTCCTGGGAAAGAGAAGTAGTAGTATGTATTAATACCTAGAAGTAGTGTTTTTTGATCACTTAACCTGTGAACTCTGCGTATTTAATTAATTAGTTTAATTCATTTAAAATTCATTCCTATGTTATTATTCCAAAGTTTTCATATTCTACAAAGATTGCCTGTAAATTTTCTGGGGGATGTACCAGTGTTTTTGAATTTTATTTTTGTTGTTTTTGCATACCGGACCAAATCAAAGCATATTAAATCAAACCTCGCTATAAAGTATGGTCAAAGAGGGCGTCGTCGCAACGCCATACGACTGGAAAGGGTTAAGCTACTGGTACTGTACAAACACTTCAGATTGTATTTAGCAAGGTTGGCCTAACAGACACTCTGAAATGTAAGGCGATTTTTTGGCAAATAGAAATGCTCTGTAAAAAGTTGAGATACCTGTTTGTCCTGCTGTACTGTACATTAATTAAACCTTCTACCAAATTTTACTATAAAATGTATTGTGTTCAAGTTCAACTTATTCATACTGTAGCACTAAGCATAATAATGATGAAAATAAGTTATTAATAACATTTACGGTAATAGGGAAAGCAAAACCAAAAATCAAGCTTATGAGCAATACCATTACCAATATTTTTCATCTTATTTTTAAGGCAGTCAAGAGAGTAGAGGGGCATTGAAAGAACTTTATTTCATGGGATGATTTATTAAGTTTGTTCTTTTTTTATGAAGGCATTGTGACCAAGTTGTGCACAATGACAATAAATCAATCTTGTATCTTGTAATCAATTTTCTGTATTATTTTTTTACATACACTGTAGACCGATAATCAATTTAAGTAATTTTCGATTGTTTCTGGCTGGCAGTTAGTAACATATTGTTCTATTTAAATGGGCTATTCAACATTTTAATTATAATTTTTTTGTATTTTTTTCTGGTAGGCAGTACAGTATATCTAAACATGTGATTTTCTTCTGTCAGTTCCATTCACAGCCATTCAGATTCACACTGTTTTATGAAGATACTGGATGGCAGCCTCAGAGAATCATTATTCCAGTGGCCATCAGCTTCCGAGAAAAGGTCTCAAATGACATGTGTTGGCTCTACAGACTATTCCAGAGACCAGGTAGCTTATATCAATGGTAAGCGAAAACAAACCTTTGAGGGTGTGTGTTAGTTGGTATTGGAAATATTGCAAGAGCAAATATAGTGATCAAATCAGAGATCTAGTCAAAAGCCTGGTTTCTAGCGATGGCACTGTAGCTTTTGGGGGCTGTTGGTCAGTTAAAACGTGGGATGAAAAAAGTAATAAAGGGCACCCTTAGAGATACCACTGTCATAAAAAATGCAATATAATTTAGTAATCAGATTCATATATGCTTAATATTTATTTGTGAGAATGTTTTCTATTAGATTTCATGGTGGTGGTGGGAATCTGAATGGTGATGTATCATTCATCAGTTGAATCCTCTGGAATTGGTTAACCCTGTAGCAAAGCATGTCAGCGTAGGGCACGTTTGGACGAGTTTTTTGTGTAGTCTACATGGGATAAGACCAGAAACGGCAATTTTCAGTTTTAGCCTACATCTAGAGTTAAATTTTTAGCCATTGTTTATTTCCATGGAAGGATTTTTACACATGGCAGGATAAAAACAAATGTCAGCCTCACCATGATTGGGGTGGAGTTACAAAGTTTAATGGTATGGTACATCTGCAGTACCTATCTGGAAATGGCATTCTCACACTCATGATTTGAAAATAGGATTTTGGTATAATGAAATACACTGAATTCAAATATGTTAACCATTTAATTTTAACATTGTGTTTTGGTGTTGTGTTGCTGTAGTTTGGAGTAATTGAATTTAGTAGAAATTCACTGTTCATTTTACATTGTGTTTAGTTGTTGTTACCATATAACATGGGTACAGGGTAATACAATATAGCAGAAATTCTCCTTTAAGTTAACATTGTGTTGAGCAGTGTTGCTCCAGCTTGGCCTAATGGATAGCAACTGTCTGAATATGTATTATTTAATCTGCTCGGATGGATATGAAAATACCTACTATTGATTATGTCACAAACAGTGATAAAGACATACAGTCTCTTAAGGTAACATCAGTCCCTTGACACAACACATCTTCATCAACCAACTTATTCTGATATTTGAACTCCTCCTCTTAAAATCACTGTCAGTCAGTCATAAAATAGTACAATACAATGGTTTTACTCCCAGTTTTTTTTTTCAGTACTGCAAATAGATGTTACAGTATTATTTTATTAATTGAGTCTACACACTTTAAGAACCATTGCTATCTAAATTTGAACATTTAACATATACATCTTAACCGTCAATTTAAATTTTTTGTTAAGAACAAGGGCGTTCGGCCTGGGGGTGGGTAGGGACTGCTTGCGAAAAATTTGAATGTGGAACTAAATCCCAAAATTACGGAATTAAATCCATTTTCTAATGGAATCTTGATGGTCATTTTTAGTATTTTTACCCAGAGGAACGAATTAAATACTGGCGTGACTTGTGCGTCACACAAGAGCAAATCTCCATTCACACTAGTAAAACAAAATTGAGGTCATCATAAGTCAAACTACTGTACAAGGTTGGTTTTGAGTTGCACCAATATTTTGGCTTGTAGTAGAACCATTCAACTAGACACCACAAGAAGAAATCAGGTGCAGATCGCTCCTCAATTCGAGACCACATTTGGGACCTAAAAATTCGGGGTGGTCTTAGGTTTCGGTCACCATTCGGAGGGTTAGCTTTGTGTTAAAAGTTTGAAAATTGTCTTTTTGGTTCTTTGAAGAATTGGTCTTGAATTAGAGGGCTCTTGGAATTGGAGGGGTCTCTAATTGGAGGGTGCACTGTACTTGATGTACTCTGTTAGAAACATGGATAGTGATAGGCATGAGTTACTTTTGAAAGGAGTCGAGATGCCTGATACCAATTCTTTGGTCAATTATATTCAATACATAATTATCTAATTACTCAAAGTTACTAAATACACTTCAACCCAGTATCATAGGCTTAGCCAGCGAGCTGTCTGGCCGTCTTTTGGACGGTCAACCATTATTTAGGATGGCCACTTTTACTGTGACAGCTTGGACGGCTTGGCCTAATCAGCTCTGCCTGGCCTAATCAGCTCTGCCTAGCCTATTGGGCCTGGTCTACCTTTAGCAAATTCTTTATATTCTTCAAATCTATTGAATATTACATTAAACTAAAGCTTAATAATACTTACGTTTGATAAAAACAACCTTTATTGATTGAATGTACATTGTTTTCATTCCCAAAAATGTAAGGCTTAACCATTGCCTACCTGGTGAAAAGTTTACTTACAACACGCGTCATGTTAGAAACATTTATACCCCACTGAAAAATGGACAGTTCAGAGTCACCCACAACTCATGCACGTGGCTCTGCAAATACAATACTTGAGATTCGGTTCTCGACATAATATTGTTGGTGTTCATAACTCTGGTTATAATTAATTCATGAAATACCATAAAAAAGATTTGTTGTCAACGTCAAGTTAAATTTTATTTAGTCAACAAAATACAGTAGGTCTAGGCCTATCTCTGGATTCGGAGGACCTAGAGTAAAATTTACACTGGACTAAGGCGAGAGATGAAAATGCATCTGCATAGCTTAGAAACATTATGTGAGTAACGTAGGATGCGCAATCTATGGCTATAACTGAAATATCTTTGTGATAGCTATTCAACACTATTCCTTTGAAGACAAAATTCCAACATTTAAACACCTTTAAATGCTTCTAAAGATCATAATTTTCTATGTGGCTCGGGGGCCACTTCCACTGGCTTCCATTTTGGATAGCCTACTTCGTTTTTCTGGCTAGACCCCTGCCCGGTATCAAACTTGTCCATCCATTCACATTAAACAAAAATATTTAAATTAAATATCCACTTATACTATTGCATCACCAAACAGACATGGCTTCATAATCTCCATAATAACAGTATACACCTACGTATTGTTTGGTATGTGACAAATTATATTGATCTGCCGCTAGTTATATTTTTAATATGGTGAGCATGGTTTAGTTAAATGAAAAAGTATTAAACTTCATTCTCACACATTTAATACTAGGATGTTTTATTTTCTTATTGGAATGTGTAACACATACCGGAGAATAAGAGATTTAATATAATCATAGTTATGTTCAGAGTAGCACTCAATCATTAGGGGTGTATGCTGGTTTTGATCTGGGGTGTGTGAAACGGCCTTAGGGGTGCAAAATTGAGACTGGGATTTCCAGTGAAAACATAATATTTAGTATTTTGGTATTTTAACCCCCTCTCCCTCTCAGCCTACACCCATGATAATGGTGCGAGAATATTCAGTTTCTACACTTGCTAGGTTTTTAACTATGGCTGTATCATGGAGGAAATTCTTCGTTGTTGAATGAACTGAATTGACCTAACTCAAAATGGGAAATCATCCAACTTAATCTTGCATCATCATTAGTCTATGATTGGTTACATTTTGGCCAGAGGCTACAGTGAGACATAGAATGGTAAATCCTAAGGCACACCTTATGTTCAACTCAAGGTCAATCAGGCTACTATATTGAGCTGTTGAGAGTGGTTTCATGTTATACACAGAGTCAACCATGGTTGGTTCAGACTACTAGTTTCTCAACTGAACTTCAGTCAGTCGCTCAACTTTCTAGTCTAACCGTAGCACATTTCCAATAGGACCTCATTAATTAAAAAACAACAATATTTTACCGTATAAAACATCTGTCGACTATAATGATGTTAGCATTCCTAAGTTATAATTCATATTATTAAGCCTTTAATTTTTCTGTGTTAATAGTCACATGGTGTTTATCTAAACATTATGAATATGCAAAGGTCACACCAATGTTTAATTCTTAGGATAGGTATACAGTACAGTATATTCAGAAATTTAAAACTAATTTACTGATTACCACAATTCTGCAAGTTAAAAAAAAATATTGTATCAACCTTCATATAAAAATTCAAAATAAAATCGTACTCTATGTAAAATATTATATTTTCTATGTATTTAATTATGTATTTAAATCAAATTTAATTATGTATTTAAACATAGCATAAATTCATTTAAATATTGTAAAGGCAAGGGAGGTAATGGTTTTCACTTAATAAATGTTTTGTTTGTGATATGCTGAAAAAAAAAAACCAAAAAAAAACAAAAAACTTTTTTTCAATTGCTCTGTCCATACTATCAAATTTTCTTTGACAAAAAACTGTTATGCCCATTATAGTCATGTTGTGCCCATATATGGTCATGATTTGATGCTATCATCACCATATTTAGGCATGTCAGGGCCTTAAAATGGTAAAATATTTTCCTATCCAATTAAGATTCATAATTTCAGTTTTGATATTTTTATAGATCCTCAAATATTCTAGTAATCAATTTTTTAGACATAAATCAGTGAAATATTAAGTTGTTTTTTTTTGTTTAAATTATATAAAATAAAAGTTATTATATCTTAAAGAAATTTAAATTTAATTTTTTTTAATGGAATTTGGAGAATTGCTCTTTACTAGATTAGTAATTATTTGTGTAATAGAAAACAATTTATTTTAATGATATGAAGTCAATTGTTCATGATGTGATAGTTGGCGTCCCACAAGGTTCAATTCGGAGACCCAGTTTATTTTTTTATACAAAAATATTGAAATTTAAATTTGTCTGCTGATGATTGACATGTATATGTTCACATGCTGATATTTAAGTACTATATAGACCAATGTGAAAAAGAGATCCAAACTTCATCAAGGTTTCAGTCAGTAAGTTAGCACTGAATTTTGGAAACACATTTTATGTTGTTCACAAATTTTCACAATTCCTCTTTGATACAAGCTACTAGTGTAAAAATAATGAATGTTTATGAGTGCAATGAATGTTTATGATTACATTCACAAACTCTACTTGGAAAAACATTGTAATGCTGTGCACATGTGTTTTAAGAAAGCTCATATGAATGGCTTAACTCTCTTACCCTAACCCAACTTGGGACCCCTGTTTAGATGTTGCTATTTATACTTTTGGATACATGGAAAAACTACTGTGGAATGCCCCCATATTGTTCATTATTCTATTTATTGTGTTGAATTA